TTGTAATGATTTTTGTTCTTAAAACTTTAAACCATTCAAAGTTGCTAGCAGTCAGATGACCTACGTTTAATTAGGAGCCTTAGTGGCACAGTAGTTAGAATGCAGTACTGCAGGCTACTTCTGCTGACTGTCAGCAATTTGGCAGTTCAAGTCTTACTGGCTCAAGATTGACTCAGCTTTTCATCCTTCCAAGGTCAGTAAATGAGGACCCAGATTGTTGGGGGCAATATGCTGACTCTGTAAAAGTGCTTAGAGAGGGCTATAACGCACTGTGAAGTGGTATAAAAGTCTAAGTGTTATTGCTATTGCTAATATTATATAGTTGGTCACAGTCAGCCAGATATTTAAGCTGAATTTAGACTTTTTATCCACCTATTGAGTCTTTCACAAGGACCTATTCTTCTTCTACTTAAGTCTTAAAAAGGAGTGATCTGGCTTCATTTTTATTTGGATGTGAAACGCCTGGCAATATCAGGGATTGGGAAAGTGGAAAAAACATATTAAAAGAAGAAAATGGAGTACCAAAGAAAATAGCATGGACATGTCCATGAATTCACCAATAATTTAAAAAATTAGCTTTTCGAAAGCAGCCAATAGAATATGTGGTTCTCTTCTAATTTTCTTAAAGATGAATGGGTGGATCAAGTCTCTGCAGCTGAAAAAAGAGACAAAAATGATCAAAAACTCATTGGGAGCCCTTCCAACTTTATGCTGTTTATTGGTGTGCAGATCACTGATCCTAAAGCCCAGTTTTACTGAGGAAATATGGATGGGCTTTTTTGCCTTGAAAAGCCCAGGACTTATCCGCATATGTGAGATTTATAGAAGGGCAATACATGAGCCATTAAATCAGATATCAGAAAATGTGGTTCCTCCTGAAGCCAATTCATTTTTTCTCTAATTTATGGATGCCTCTTTATATTCATTTATGCTGTATCATAAATATTTTTTGAATGCTATTTTCCTATTCACACTGAATTTGATGGGAAAGAAATTACTTTCTTTTTGCCAAAGAAGAATAAAACTTTCAAAAAATTTCTCACAAAAGTGAGATTGAGGTTTAGCAATTTTGTTGCTTTCAGGTTATTATGTGATTTTCACTGCGATTATTTTTTTGCAGAGAAACGTAGCTTTCTCTTCCTGTTCTCACTTTAAGATTAAATTTCAAGGCTAGGCATTATGTTGTAACTCTTTTCATGCAATCTCTTCAGATAAGTACAGGGAACCCTTCATCTACCACAGTTTGTTATGTGACCATTCAAAGTTACAAGCGCGTTCAAAACAGTGACATGACCATTTTTGCACTTATGACCATTGTGGCACCCCCATGGTCACATGATCAAGACTCAGGTGTTTGGCAACTGGTTCATGCTTATGACGGTTGCAGTGTCCTGGGGTCACCTGATCCCCCTTTGTGACCTTCTGGGAAGCAAAGTCAATCGGGAAGCCAGATTCACTTAACAACCTTGTTAGTAATTTAGCACTGCAGTGATTCATTTAACAATCGTGACAAGAATGGTCGTAAAATGGAACTTTGACTTGGGTGGGGAAAACCTGGAAGCTTTCAGATTCGGGTTTTCCCAGATGTGCCAGTATGACATCTCTAATAAAATGGATCTTTGAGGAAACTCAAGCATTGGAGCAGTGTTTCTCAACCTTAGCAACTTGAAGATGTCCGGACTTCAACTCCCAGAATTCCCCAGCCAGCGAATGCTGGCTGGGGAATTCTGGGCGTTGAAGTCCGGACATCTTCAAGTTGCCAAGGTTGAGAAACACTGCATTGGAGTCTTCTTTCCTTGGGGGTGTTACTTGGAACCCTGACAATGACCCTTCTATAGAAACCTCTGGTTTTTGCTGCTTTCGCCCTGGCACTTTGCAAGGTGGAAAATCCATTCCCATTTTTGTTGTTGTTGCAGGCTTTAGAATGATTGTTCTTCTATAAAGCCCAACTTTATGCTGAGGGAAGACCATTAGCTGATTACTGTGCTCTGGTTGACCGTGGAGCTCTCTTGGGCTGTTCCTCTGTGAGATCATCGTCTTCTCTATGGGGTAAATGAGCATTTGCCTCGGAGAAGCCACGTCCGAGAGAGCCACAGAATAATTGTTTTGTCACTTAATGATGTTTATGCTAGTTTAGCCACATTGCATTCTGGTAATTCAGTTTTCTCAGAATGTCAACAGGACTACAGCAGATGGTGGTGTGTTGGGGTAAAGAACTGTATTTTTTTAGCAGTAACTGGCTTCTGACGTGTCTTATTTTTTATGCCTAATTTAAAGAATTTTCACAGAAGTGAATGTGAAAACTGTTTGCAAGGTGTGGAAATAATTGTGCTCTTGTTAAAGACTTTTTTCCTCTCCTTTCATTTGGGACTTGGCTTACTTCTTTGAGCCATCTGGAGCTAGCTGCTCTGCCAGAAACTTTTAACTGTGCCTTCTCTCTTTCTCGTGAGGCCGGTACTCTGGTTTTTACACTGCACAGAGTGATCTCTGAGCTGTAGGGGGTGGTTGTTCTTTCATTCTTTCATTTTCATAAACCTCAAGAGTACCATCACATAGCTTGGACATCAACTTCTCTCATGTCATTGTGCTATGTGGGGATTATGGAATTAAAATCTAAACATTAGCATCAAGAATATTGGCAAAAACTATGGGCTATTAGGCAGAGTTCCCGCCACCTTCAGCATTTCTTGAAAATAATCTTATTTACTTATTAAATTTATATGCTGTCTGTCTCACTATCCAAAGTGACTCTCTTGTCATAAACGGTGCATCTTCAGAGTCAAATGTAGCTCCCTTGTACTTCCCAGAATTGCCTTGCTTACACCTATATTTTGATGTAGGAACTTAAGTGACCTGATAGTATAGATCTAATTAAAAGAATAAACTTAGTTCATTTTCTAAATATAGACCCCTTCCAGTTCTGGCTCTATTTGCATACATGACATGACCCCGTCCATTTTGTATCCTTACTTAATTCACTCTATCTTCCACTCTGTCATGTATTTATGTTGAGGGTCTGGCTGCCAAAAGATGGGTTACCCCTGATGGGTGGACAGTGGACAGGATCCTCCTTTCCTATTATTTTCCAACACTTGGAAAATTAGAATTGTTGGTGAAGCAATATAGATATGAAAACTACGCAAACAGCTAATACACTGTGGAATTCTCCAAACTAAAATTGAAAGCAAAGTAATAACATTATGGAAAACTATCATTCCTTTAGTGTCCTTTTAGCGCTTCTAAAATAAAAGCCTTAAGTCAGCTGTTGGGGAGGATGCTGTTTTCTAACTGCAGCCCTGATTCCTTTTTTTTTGTGTGTGTGGGGATGGGTGGGTTGTTTTTAATTTCAAATATGGGGGATAGTCAAGTATTGTAAAACAAGTAAATTATGCAGGATTGGTATTATCTGGCTCTTCTCCATTTGAGCAGTGTTTCTGCAGCAGTTTTGATAACTTTAAGATGTGTGGACTTCAGCTCCCAGAATTCTCAGTCAGCATGAGTTTCTTAAAATGGCTAAGGTTGAGAAATCCCTCTGGTGGGACCCATTAGAGAGCCTTTTCTGCCACAATGCCTGCCCTCTGGAATATCCTCCTCCAGAGATTAGATTTGACTTGACCCTGCTGGTCTTTGGCAGATCAGGCTGTGCCATTCCTCTGTGACCTTGGCAGTATGGGTGAACCATTCATGTTGACTTAAATGGAAGACATAGAATATTCTCAAAAACTGTTCTAGGCTATTGATAGGAGGGTTTTTTGTTTTTGATTTTGGCTTTGTTGTCCTATTTTTATTTTGTGTTTAATTGTTAGTCATGGGCAGCCATATACATTTACCAAATAAATAAATACATTCATAACCATTCATTCTGATTCCAGATAAAAGAGTAATAATAGGAGAGATTGCAGAGAAATGTTAGAATTAAATGGGCAGCACTTGAAAGAAAATGACTAGCTGCTATGAAAAAGAAAATGAGTGAACAATGTGTATTTTAACAAAAAGCTCAAAAGAATTCACACACTTTTATTTTATTTGTTTTGTTGCAAACCATAGCGGAAAATTACATGTAGATGTTTAACAAGCATTGTCTTGGGATTTTCCTTACCCATTGATTATATATGCTGGTGTGGTTTGTTTATAAATACAGCTGGTTCATTAGTAAATGCAAAACATGTTTACATAAAATTGCTAATAAAGTCTGTAGAAAACCTCTAGGCTAATATCTTGTTTTGACAATGTCAAACACGATTTCAAATCCATACAATTTTCACTTAGATTTAGGTTTAGGTTTATTAGATTTATATGCCGCCCTTCTCCCAAGGACTCAAGGTGGCGTACAACATTAAAAGAAACGCATAATACAAAAGTTAAAAAAAATATTAAATAGAATATCCCAAACAAACCCAATTAGAATTGACAAAAACATTTTTTTAAAAAAAATGAATTAAAATTAACAATGATCAATAATTTATTTTGTTTTGTTCACGCCAGGCTGGCTTTATTATTTATTTATTTATTTATTTATTTATTTATTTATTTATTTATTTATTTATTTATTATTTGGATGTAGTTTTAGTTTGGGTTTAGAGGAAAAAACGACTCTCATGATGGCAGATAGAGAACTTAAAGTCTTGTCCTGTTGAGTCCATTTCTTTGGGTAATTTTTGTAGTGTTTGAAGGATAGAATAGGTCCTGGAGGAGGGAGGGAGGAAAAATAAAAGATTGCGTATTGTTTTAAGAAAAGTTCATAAACAAACAGCCCTCTTGTGAGAGATTGTGGGAAGGCAGGGAAAGTAATGGAAGTGAACAGTCTAGAGATAGTAGGACAACTGTTGACGCCTTGTCAGCAAACTTGATGGCAGAAAACCCAGAAACAATCATTTCAAATCATACAGAGAAACTCTGCCTTAATAAATGAATGATGGTTAGAAATAAGAAGGGAAATTAACTGAGACCAAAGTGTAGTTATGCCTGTAATGTCACAATCTTATTCTTTCTTTCCACAGTTATAAGAATGTGATGACCCCCAGACGTGCAGGGGTTGCTATTGGCTGCTGCTGGCTGATCTCCCTCCTTGTGGGCATGATTCCGCTATTTGGATGGAACGAAAATGAAAAAGACACCTTCAATTCTACTTGCAAATTTGATAAGGTCATCAGCATGAAATACATGGTTTATTTCAATTTCTTTGGGTGCGTGTTGCCTCCACTGGTCTTTATGCTCATCATCTACATAGCGGTTTTCAAGATCATTCGCAAACAACTCAGCAAAAAGTTTGGATCCAATTCAGCATGCCCAGAAAAATACTATGGGAAGGAACTGAAAATTGCCAAGTCTCTTGCCTTAGTGCTATTCCTTTTTGCTCTGTGCTGGCTTCCTCTGCACATTTGCAACTTTGTCGCCCTATTCACTCCTGAATTAACAAAGTTACAGATCTTCACCCCAATTGCTGTATGCATGACTCATTTGAACTCAGCCATGAACCCCATTATTTATGCATTTAGGATTAAAAAATTCAGGACCACATTCCTGCAAATCTGGAACCAGTATTTTCATTGCAAAATGAACAGGCATTCAAATAATATTGGTGATACTGACATTGCTATTTAGGAGTTATGGACTGCAGAATTTGGGGATGCAGCCTTCAAACTGTACAGGATGATCTACACATATTCCTTTCATTGTCCATTGCCTCTGAACAGGCAAAGCTCAGAGGCAACCAAGAGTATTATTTATTACTTCTACTAACAATACTCCACTTGGTATTCTATTCTTAAATTGACATATATTTACCTATTTAATGGGGAAATATACCAAAAAAAAGCTGTGACATATCTTTCATTCCAATAAAGAGGAAATTAATCTCAGTAGTTTTGTTTTTCCTGTAGGGATTTGCAATGTACTGTAATAAATGTTGAAATCCTCAATAGTTATATAAAATAATCCAGAGAAAAAAACAAAGAGAAATATGGAAGAAAACCTTGTCTTCAATGGTTGTAAAACATTGGCACTATCTATATTTAATATAGACAAGTATAATAGCTAATGAGTTTATATGAGCAAGCAATTCATATCCTCTTATATTTATCAACTTATTGCCAGTTGCAAGCGTATTTCAGATGTCACTAAGTATTATGTGACTTTTTCTCTTTTTTTTCTTTCTGCCATAAATCTTTACACATATAATACCAGATTAATTCAATACATCAGCAAAAATACAATTGAATAATAGACAACAGTAGAATCTGCCAACTTGATGAGATTCAAAAGGCCTTCTGCAGATCTTAACTCCATCAAGGAACCAGAGCTGGAATCTTCTTTGTGGTGGTCCCCTCTTCTGGAGAAGCATGTCCCTGAAAATAGGATTGGCCCATCATTTGCTGATATCTATTAAAACTTGAGTTTTCTAGACAATATTTGAGGCAAGTAAACTATGATGGTCCCGAGTGCAGGCAGTGCCAGTTGACTGTTAAATCAAATATTTACTATGTCAAAACCAGCATAAAGAGAACGGGGTACCGTTATTTAAAGGAATTAAGTAATACTACAAAGTTTTTTTAAAATAATATTAATTATAAAATACTAATATATTGTACATATAAAATCCCAAAAGGAGGGATAAAGCATTAGATTGGTGAAGGAGAGTACATGGTTAAATATGGCAAACTAAATCTATTATAGAGCACCTGATGGATTTTAAGCACTGCTGTGGGAAACCTGGCACAACATTGTGTGTTGTAGCAGGTTAGTATCTGAAAGCAGCAGGGAGGTATAGAATTGCCCTGTGTGCCCTGGGAATTTATGCAATAATAGTGAGATGAGGCTAGTAGAGGGGTTTCTATAATACAGGCACTGGAGGAGTAAATTCTCTGTTGTTTCTGTGAGTCCAGAATCACAGGAGCATCGCCTCTCTGGGTAGGGTAGGGAATTTTTTTGTATCCAATCTCAAAGACAGCTTTCAGGGAGTCTGACATTGTACTATGCAATGTAAAGACCCTCCAATGATTAAGCGCTTTGAGATTAGTTAAGTGTGCCATGGGAGAGGAACCGTAGCCTATTGGATTCACTGGCAATAAAGGTGACGTACCTTGCTAGGTCCAGTTGACTATGCGTTATGACATTTTTCTAATTTTGGATGAGAAATTATTGCATTTTATCTTAGTACTGACAATGTAAACAATGCAGAGCTGTTATCAACTGGAGTGCCATATAAGCTGAAATCAATAATAAACAAAGAAATAAATAAATACATGTTGGGGGTTTTGTGTCTCTTTGCTGCCACCTGGTGATGGTGTGGAATTTTGCTACCCATATCTAGTAGTCTTTGATGCCAAGGAATTATTTTAAGATTCATTTCAAGTTTCCTCTTTACAACAATACAATCTATACCAAACAGGATATGCATAGTTCTAAGAACAGTTTAACGTGAGCTTAAATGGACTCCAAAGGATGGTAGAGGACAGGAAGGCCTGGAGGAACATTGTCCATGAGGTTACGATGAGTTGGACATGATCTCTCAACTAACAACAACAAAGAATAGTTTGATATCTTAAGATAAAAATGCTTTTACACAAATGTAAGATTAAGATGTTAAATTAATTGACTATTTGCTTCAAATCTGCCACCTTTATCTAGACATCTCACTTAATAACATAAATCTTCATTTTTTAAAATATATGCATCATGATTGCAGTTAAATGGAAATTTTTAAACTGTATTGATTTGTTCCAGTAAGCTTCCTAGAGGTGAATAACGAAGAAGCTGGTCTTCCATTTCAGATGTTGGATTACAATTTTGAAAATCCTGGATGATTGGCTAAGTTCAGGAGGAAGAGGTCAACAGATTCTTTTGTAACTGATTTATACGTGCAGATGAGATTAAATTCAGCTTCCCTACCTATGAAGAACAACTTACTTAGGTAGTTCTCGCTTAATGGCCAGTTGCTCAGTGACCAAAGTTATGATGGACCCCCAAAGGTACTTATGGCCCAGTTTCAATGGCCACACCTCCCCCATTATTGTGATTGTACCTTGGGCCTTTGACAAATGTCTTGCATTTATTGTTCTGCATTCATATAACTGCATTTTTTTGGCATTTTTTGCTTATTTTCCAAGATTTCTGCCAAAAAAAAAGCCCATTGGGTAAAATGGATTCATTTAATGACTTTAGCATGCAATTAATGACTGCAGTGTTCACTTAATAACAAATACAAAAATGGTCATAAAATTGGATGTGACTGATGCTTAATGACTGCCTCAGCTTCTGTGCTCAATTATGGTCATAAGTCAAGGACTACCTATGCATCTAAATAAGTCGAACAAATTATATATCACAGTCGCTTTCTTGAGAAAGAAGAGGAGGAGGATTCAGGTCCTGAAAAAAAATCTATAAATATTGAAGTACCAGGCTAGATAATGAACTGTTAAATCAAATAATATCAGTGAATTCCAAAAGGGACATAATCAGAAAACTGAAATAGGATCAGGCCAAGAAATTGTGACTTGTGTTTCATTTCTTAGTTTGTTCCGGGCTTGATATTGAACTAATGTAGATTAATTAACAATATAGGCAGGGAGTATTTCTTCCTTTCTTTTCATCAGAGGTATTAAATTGATATCATGGAAAACAATTCTATTTAGTAATCTAACCCGTAGAACTACTAATGCGGACTAGACAGACCTACATATTACAAAATTATCAGTTCTAAAAAATTTAAGAGAATTGGCTGATGGAGAAGTGTTTCTCGACCTTGACAACTCTAAGACATATGGATTTCAACTCCTAGAAAGCCCCAGTCAGCATAACTTGACTAGCTAGGGAATTTTGGAAATTGAAGTCCACATGTCTTAAAGTTGCCAAGGTTGAGAAACACTGCCTTAGAGCATATAATCAATGAAGGCTGGCATGTACATATTGTTATGGCCCACCAGGTGCCAGAGGAGCTGGGGATGAGGAGGTTGGGGAAGAACATGGGCCAGTTCTGGAGCCTGGGGAAGGCTCTGATGGATGCTCAGCGTCGGACACAGAGATTGAGCCATCTGACATTTCCCAGCCACCAGACAGGCAGCTGCCTTTGGAAGCTGAGATGAGCGAGGAGGAAGAACAGCTGGGACCTGTTCCAGATGCTGTTCCAATATGTGCAGAGCAGTTAGGAGAGGTTAACAATGGAGGACAAGGAGTAGACTCGGGAAGCAAAGTAAACGTGGATGCTGAATGTCCCCTCCCTGGCTGGGGAATAAATAGAAGGAAAAGGGAGTGGTTGTCAGATAACAGTTCCTATTTCTGGAGATTTTGATCATTGTGTTTCGTGCAAGAAAGACTGCTTGCCAGAACTTAATTTGCAGACTTTCTGCTGGGAGCTCACAGCCTTGCAATTATCATAAGGAACTGATAAGGTCTGCTGTTGCAGTTAACTCTTTACAGGACTTTTGCCTGGACTTTCGGTGGGTGAATGCAATGAAATCATGAGGTAAATTAAGAGGGTTTTTTTGTGACAAGGAGTCTGTTTCTTGTTTCTGCTAAAGCTGGGTCAGAACCAGTGGTGAATTCCTACCGGTTTGGAAAACTCCGGCTGAACCAGGCCCTGCTTGGCTGGGTGCCTTCCGTCACCACCGCTCAACTTATCCATTGCAGGAATTTGATAAAGCCGAGTGGCTCCTCTGTTCCACCCAAAGACACGAAAATGTAATGCAAAAGGAGAAACCTGGAGCAGGGTGGGGGGCACCAGAACCCCCTGCATGCTGCTGAGAACAGCTGCTTGTAGCCAGGGCGTGAGCCCTGCTGCTTTCCCCCTCTCTCGATGCACCTCACCGCGCCTGTCCATTTGTGACCCCTCAGCCTCGACATGCCACGGAGAGGCGAGGCAAGGTGAGGTGAGGCAAAGAGGGCATTTTGGACCAGCAGCAGACACAATGAACAGCAGCAAAAGGGAGCAAGAGCTCAGCCCAGCCGAGGCGAACTTGCCCAAAAAGGAGAGGTGGTGGTTGAATTGGCTGGGGCATAGTGGAGGCCACTTTGAACTTCTGGAGGAAAGACATAAAATAAATCTAACAAACATACAATATTTAGTACTTCAGGGTTGTAGGATTGGTGCAGGATCTGTGATACAATCCAGAATTGCCTTTCTACAGTCCTTTGGGCCACAGTATTGCAACTGCAGGGCATAAGCACGCGTGTGCAATCCGGGCTTTGTGATTTTCCATGGCCCCACCCTACCTGGGGGTGTTTTGGGGGGTTGCAGTCATTCCTCCTCTCCCCATGTTCTGAGCCAGGATTGGATAAACTTTCCTCCCTCCCGCCCTGCTTGCACAGTCCAGTGCTTCCACCTGCATTTTTCCTATCTCCCACCCTTTCTTTCCCCCCCACTTGCCCACTGGATTTATAAACACAGGCATGGCCTCTGGGCTGCAAAGTTGAATGCTTCGATTCCTTCTAGGCAACTTATAGCTTTTCCACACAGCGGTCTATTTTTGGGAGTTTTCCCCCCCTCTTCCTCCCCCCTTCCTTCTGTTGGAGTCCACAAAATTTTCGCCAACATGTTGATGGCTATGGCTTGGTGGGTGGTGGTGGTCATGTGACTGTCTATGAGTGATGTCAAGTTGGCCACGCCCACTCAGTCACATGCCCCCCACCTAGCCGCACCCACAGAACTGGTAGTAAAATATTTTAGAACCCACCACTGACATTGATATACCAAGGCTGCCAGACATTTGAAGACAGAAGGACAACCACAAAAGAAGCAAGCAATCCACAAAGCCAGAGCTGCAAATGCTGCAATAGTGGTGACCACATATGTCTGCTCGACATGTGGCAGAACATTCCATGCCAGTATGGGCCTTACCAGCCACCTGCGGACACACTGTGGACAACCCACAACCCATTAGATGTTAAGGTCCTCTTCGAAAATGATGGACAAACATCCCAAATAATGTAAAGCAAGAATTCATGTCTGTGAAAGTTCCTTCAATAAATGTTTCCTAGTCTACCATTGAAATAGCAAAACCAGTAATTTCACAACCCACACACCCCTTTTCCTTCGGCACCAAACAGCAACCAGTCAATTTAAATTATGGATAGAATGGGAATGAGCTGAATTAAGCAGTATAAATGATTTATACTTAACAGCAGTTGAAAGAGCCAGTTAAGCCCTTCTACAAACTCAAAAAGCACTTTGTCTTATTTATTCATTTCTTTTGCAGCTTGAAATGCTGCTTTCAGGATAAAATCCCCAATGAAACCAAAAGCACTTATAATAGGGTTTAACTTTGGTGGCCTATTAAATTTATTTCTTTGCTCCTTCCTAAATTATGCATGTCAGTTCAATGTGGGATGGAATGCTGCAATGAATCAATTAAAAAAAATAGAAAGGTCAGAGCACAAGATCAATTATACACTGAATATTCTTTGAAGTAAATTTAACAATGCTTGTAATAAAGGGAGGAGATGGGTCCTTATGGCACTCTAAACAACACCAGTGTTCATTATGATATCTCCTTTTGTTAAATAAGAGCCAAAAGGGCAACGTTGTGTAGTATTTAAGGAGGCGAACTTGAGCATAAAGTTCACTGGTTGACTCTAGTTACTCGCTCTCACAGCGCAACCAGATTTAACGGGTCCTGTTGGGATAAAATGAGAGACCTCCCACTCTTATGTACACCCAACTGAGCTCTCAGAGAAAAGGCAGAATGCAATACTAATTAACTAAATTAACTAAGCACTAAATAAAAATTATGTGTTCATTATCAGTTGATAGATACACTCAGTTGATAGTTCCTTACTTGGATATATTGAGAAAAAAATGCTGTAACAGTAAAGACAAAACTTATAATGTATAAATGGTACCATCCATAAAAATGTGTTTACACAAATTTCATATTTTCCTTCAAGGTTATACAAATGGGTTTTGTATAGAAATGTAGGCTATACTTATATACCACTTACATTTCATAGCCTTTTACACAGAAGTATTCTTGTAAATGGCTCTCAATATATGATAGCAGTTTGATGTTGCTGTTTGCCTTCCTTTCA